ATTTCCCAAAGTGGCCTGGAGCTGATAAGATGTTTGAGCACAGCAGCAGCAGGGTCTAGGGAAGGGCTGGGCTGAGTCACTTCTGATGTCTGTGCCCCATTTTCCCACCTGTCAGATGGAAGCTACAGCTTTGCCTCTTCAGGAGGGTGCTGGAGAGGATGCTTGCTCTGCGTCCTCCTGGGAGAAAAGAGGTGACACACAAGCAAAAGGTCTTGGGGATGATCAGTCTCTAACTTCCTTTGAAAAGTTCCTAAGATCAGGCCGTGCTTGGTGGCTCAGCTTGTCATCCCAGCACTTTGGGAGGCCAGGCGAGTAGATTGCCTGAGCCCGCGGGTTCGAGACCAGCCTGGGCAATGTGGTGAGACCTCATTTCTACAATAAATGAAAAATTACCCGGGTGTGGTAGCATGCACCTGTAGTTCCGGTTCCTTGGAAGGCTGAGGCAGAGGGATCACTAGGGCCCAGAAGTTCGATGCTGGGGTGGCCGTGAGTATGCCACTGCGCCCCAGCCTGGGTGACGGAGTGAGACTCGAACTCAAAAAAAAAAAGAAAGTTCCTAAGGTCAACAACAGACTCCGCATCCTCTCTGTCTCTGGCTGAGAGCTCCTGAGGGCACAGGCAATGCCTCGTTGGCATTTCTACCATGAGCAGCTACTACAGGGCCTGGAGCCTGGGGGATTCCCCGGAAAGGCCTGTGGAATGAGGAACTGGACACATGAATGTTTTAAATATAAACACAGATTAAGAGGGTGCTTAGGGAACATTCCAGGCCCTCTGGAATAATGCATTTAAAACAGAGGGACAAAGGCCATCAGATGCGTTCTCGAGAAAGAGCCTGGTATGAGCAGTCGGGGAAGGGGCATAGCTGAATCCTGCCTTCTGGAAGAGTAGGTGTTCTACTGAAGAAGCAGCTGCAGACATAGCAAAGCTGCAAATGCTCTTATGTGGAGCTGGAGGAAAGACGGAGACCTGGAAGTTTCTCGGACAGCCACATGTACAGAGGCAGAGACATTATTGGATTCACACCTTGAAGGCAAATGTAATTTCAACTGCCTTGAACAACTGCAAAGTCACTGTTAAAGCAATGGTTCCTTCCACATCAACTGTACCCTTTTGTGTTTCCTCGTGGGAGTGTTATGGCCAACACAAAACTTATGTGTTATAGGCAGGGCAACCTACCACCCCTGTTTGCCTGGAACTGTGCTGGTTTTCAGCACTGGGTGCCCCATGTCAGAAGAGTTGGGGCAGCCAAGCTCAAAGGAGGAGGTGGCATTGTTCAGGGGAGGAGGGGAGCCTGTGGACTCAGGCACTGCAGCCCCTCACAGCCCCTAGAAAGCCAGCGACGCCCAGTTCCAGATGTGCCCCCAGCAACGCCCTTGAGCCCTCAGCTCAAGAGGAGATCCAGGAAACTCTTCATTGACTGAGTGCCTGCAGAGAAACCAAGCCACGCTGCACGGATCCTGCAGTCCCTGTCCTTACTGCCTTTTTCTTGAGGTTAGCATCATTCTAAAAGTCCAAAAGGTGCAGGGAAGCTAAAGGAAAAATAAAGAGGCCAAATTCAAACAATTCGATGTTCAAGTGCTATACAATATACTAAAGTGTATTTGTGGCAAAGGTGATGTAAACCTCCGCTTTCTGTCAGCTGCTTCCAATGGCATCCAAAAGCCCAAGTTTTGATTGTTTCTTGGATTAGCTTAAGTATTGTGACCTGCCTTATCCACCCTGGAAAGTTCTAGGCAGCAGATAATTCCACTGAATGGAATTATATGAAGACCATGATCACATGCTTTATGTATGTTGCATTGGATGATTTTTAAAATCTTTTTTTCTTGCTTTCTCCATCTCGTAGGGATTCATGAGGGGCCTGGGGCCCAGAGAGGCTGAAAGCTTTTATAACCACGGTGACCTTTCTTCCAAGCATGTCTCCTTCGTCAACACTGTGGGCCCCCTGCCTCGTCTGTCCTTGTCCTGGCCCTTTCGACTCACGGCCTGGACATTTTCCCTCACTTCCCTTCTCATAGCACAACTCATTGTTCTTTCAGACTATTCCTAAACTTCAAATTTTTTTTCTCTCTGGAAGGCAGAGGGACACATTTTCAGAGGAAGAAAGCTCAATTCGGACCTGTTAGGAAAATGATAATTCATTGCCTGGGCTGCAAGTATTTTCCCTGATGTCACAGGCACACTGCTCACCATCAAGGAGGAGGCGGGGCAAGCCACTAGAAAGTATGGTCAGGTTAACAACAGCAGGAGGATGCGTCATGGCTCCTGGGAGGAGGCACCTGGGCCTGGCTGCACCTATGTGTCCCTGACAGTGGCTACACGGAGACTTGGAGGGTGGACACAACACCCAGTCCTGCCCTCCTCAGTCACATTTTCTTCAGCAGTTTTTATGTGATTTTTGCAATAAGGAGTGCAAATGAGGGAGAAGGTTCTGGGGTCATTCGGGCAATGAAGCGATCAAGAGAGAGACAGGGTCGCAATCTCCATGTCGGACTCATCCTTGTAACTCAGGGCCTGGCTTTCTGTTCACAAGTGTCTTGTAAACTGTTCAGGGAATCAGAACCTCAGAAGCACCACAGAAATATCTGCTGCCTAGAACTTTCCAGGGTAGATAAGGCAGGTCAAGATACTTAAGCTAATACAAGAAACAATCAAAACTTGGGCTTTTGGATGCCATTGGAAGCAGCTGACAGAAAACTGAGACTGTGTTAGCAACACAAGCCTGGTCTCTCACCCCGGCCAGCATTTATAGCCACGGTGACCTTTCCTCCAAGCATGTCCCTTCCGTCAACACCGTAGGCCCCCTGCCTCCTCTGGCCTAGTCCCTCTTGACCCACGGCCTGGGCATTTCCCTTCTCACAGCACAACTCACTGTTCTTTCAGACTATTCCCAAACTTCGTATTTTTTCCTCTTTGGAAGGCAGAGGAACACACTTTCAGAGGAAGAAAGCTCTAGTTTTCAATTTTTACCTGCCACCTGCTAACTATGCAACCTTCAGAAAGCTTTCAGCCTCCCTGGGCCCAGGCCCCTCATGACTCCCTACGAGATGGAGAAAACAAGAGAAAAAGATTTTAAAAATCAGCCAATGCAACATATATAAAGCGTGTGGTCATGGCCTTCATATAATTCCATTCAGTGGAATTCAAAATGTATCTAAGGCTCAAGCAAGACAAGTAACGATCTCAAACCTTAATGAAGAGTTGCAGACGCTTGGAAATTGCAGATTTATAGACTCAACTGGCACCCCCCACCCAAAATCTGATTCAGGATGCAGATGCCCTGTGAACTTCATGTTGAAAAACAGTTTTACAAACTCGGAAATGCCCCCTGGGTGGGATTAGTCAGGCTGTCTGAGCAGAATGCAGTTGTACCACTTAGGACTTTTCCAGAGAGGCTTTGACCAAGCAGCTCTGGAAGCCTGTTACTGCAATGCGTTTGGAGCATAGAGGACGCCTCGGGTCCATCTTCAGCAGAATTTGAATCTTTATGACACTTTCGCCATTCACCTCAACTCCCTCACTCTCTCTCCATTCTACACAAGCACACACATTCATCAACACGTGAATTCCACAGAAATAAAACAGTGACAAAGAGACTCAAAAAGCTCTCAATATTTTAAACTGCACTCCCACCTAAAGAGACAGCACATGGGTTTTGCTTTCAACAATGACAGGCTAGCGTTCTCGCTACATGAACCATGGTGTTCCCTATGCAGGGCCACACCACACAGCTAGGAACACCTCCCCTTCATGGCAGGACAAGCTCTGGGGCACTGACCCAAAGGCCATCACAAATGGCCCCGGGGAAGCTCAGAAAGCTGCCGAGAGTCAGTGGGTGTTCAGACTGTTCTCGCACAGGATGACAAAGCTGGGACCTCTGGGCGCCCAAGGCCCCATCCACTGAGGGACTGCCTGCAGAGTGTGGGGTTCCATCCCTCCTCTGCTTGTCAAGGTTCCTGAGTGGGGGACACAGAGGGCTGTCTCCCTTCTCACTGGTGCTCACAGCCGTACGTGAGGATGGCCTACCCACGTCTCCTGGGCTCCTCGCTCTCTATAGAGCACAGGGCTTGTTATATGGGGACAAGTACTTCCTTTGCCAAACTGATTCACATCTGTGGCCAAGGCCAAGCGACTTGGCTCCTCTGAGTCTTTCTGCTTTATATAAAAACGAGGATAATCTTTAGTATCGACCTCTCAGGTACAAGTGAAAACATAAGATTAGGATCTGGAAATACTCTCTCAGAACATGAAATCATGAGCAGAACCCCATGCCCTAGACATGGGCAGGGCTGGAGGATGGATCCATTTACTGAATCGTTTTGGAGCTAGAGCAGGTCTCAGAAACCATCTGGCCTGAGCATCCCTATAACCTGGGAATCCCACACTGCAGGGGGGAGCAGATGCCATTGCCTTCAGGGACCAGGTAGGTAGGAGATCTGTAGACCGGCCTAAGACCCTACAGGAAGAAAAACTGGGAGAGCCAGGAAATGCATCACTGCCCAAGGGACTTAAAATTCCATTGCTGCCCAACAGTTTGCTAGCATAAAGGTGGCATGAGTGAATGAACAGTGAGTACATAAATCAGTAAAGCTGTGGGTCTCAGGGCAGGCTTAGGGCCAAGAGTTTGGGATGAGGGCCCCAGATGGATTTACCTCCATCCTGTCCCCAGACCAGCGGCAACCATGGGTTAGGGTGGGAATGCACTTGGGGATTAGAAGTGGGTTTAGACTCCACCTCCATCACTGAGGCACTGAGGACTGGGGAGGTACCTTCCGTGCAGGAGGCCAATTCTCTCACCTGTGGGCAAAGCCTGCCCCTGCCCCTCTCATCAGTCTGTGAGGGACACGGTGACATCAGCTCTCTCTCACCCTTCCCCCATCTGACGGCCCCACAGGTTCTGCCCACAGGCAGGCACACGCCTGGATCAGAGCTGCACAATCTGTTACTTCTCCCTCCCTCTGATGCAGACACAAACATTCGCACACGGTCACTGTCACCTTTCTCAATCTTGCGGCCCCCATGCCGGAGCGGATGGCATCCATCAAGGCTTGTCTTGCGTCCACCGAATTACCGAGAGTGCCAGTACTGAACCTGGAAGCGGTCCTTGATGTGGAGAGAGCCTTGGAGGCCGGAGGGGGTGAGGGTGGCACAGCCGGTGGAGGTGGAAGGCCAAGGTCTTCTTGCCCGGGACTGTCTAAGACTGGTGCAGAGAGCGCGGCATCCCGGAAGCCTCGGAGCTCCTCAGAGGCAGAGGACGACACCTAGCAAAGAGATGGTTAAATGGCTGCTAGAGGGTGGATGGTCATGTCTCCCCAAGTTCACACGTGAAATTCTGATGCCCAAGAACTTTGGGAGGTGATTAGGTCATGAGGGTGGAGGCCTCATGAGTGGATTAGTGTCCTTATTAAAAAGAGGCCCCAGTGAGCACCCTTTTCTCTTACACCATGAGGGGACACAGAAAGGCGCCATCTAAGATACTCAATCTGCTGAAGCCTCGACCTTGGACTTCCAATGTCCAGAACTGTGAGAAAAAAATATCTGTTGTTTATAAGACACCCAGTCTACAGGATTCTGTGACAGCAGCCCAAACAGATTCAGGCAGTGACAACATCCCCAAAGTCCCTTTCTGAGAAGGCAGCACACAGCTGGCTACCTCACCTGTGGAGCTGAAATAGTTCCTCTGCAAGAAACCCAGGAAGTCTGTCTGCCCCAAACTGAGGCATCTGGCCTCGAGCTCAGTAGGTGGCCAAGCCACTGATCCCACAGACCGGGACTTGGCCGCACTGCTTTACTGAGAACTCTCTGATCTAATAAACTTTTCTTGGCATGTAATGGTAGAAACAGAGGCTGGACACATCTGACCAGTTGCTGGGGCAGGACACCCTTAAAACCCAGGAAGCAACACATGAGTCATATTATTCCTCAATTTCTATGCATGGAAGCTACAAGTAACACCACTCTACTTTTAACTCAAGCTCACATTGGCTTCCCCGTTGTATAGAACCCAGTGCTGTATTCACAGATAACCTAATTCTAGGCAGTGTGCAGTTGCTTAAGTCCTGGGTGCCCGAAGTCATGCTGGCGGCCGAGGGAATCTGGAAAGTGACCAGTTCCGGGTACTTCAGAGCAGCAGGATGGGAGAGCATCTGGGAACTCTCACTTCTCCTCTGCAGGGGCCATCCCCGTCTCCTGGAGCGAGGTGCCTGCTCCCACCACGCCACGTCTAAGGCAGGCTGGCTGCCCACTCTGAAGATGGCTTGCCATCAGCTCAGGTTCCTGGGGCGAGGGGGCGCGAGGTGTCGCAAGGCGCCATGGAAGGCCCTCCCCCTCTTACCTTCCTCAGGCTGCAGGCACCACTGTGCCCTCGGATGGCGGCCAGCAGGGCGGATCGCTCGCTCTCTGCCTCGATGTAGGATGGCTTCTTTGGCCCTCCCTCTGAGGGGTGTTCTGTAATCTAGAATATTAATAGTGTCAACACATTTCACTCAGAAGACAGAAAAAATGCCACTCAGAGGAAACCAGTCCGTGTCTCTTGAGGCCCATAGGGTCAACTTTACACTCACTGTTTTATAGAAGGGATCTATAAGAATCAAAGCTTATCTAGCACCAAAAGATTGCCTCTTAGTGTCAGATCACTCCTGTATCGCCCTAGCTTCCCAAAGCTGACATGTGAGTTTAAGTCTTGCAGACCGGGGTGACTAGCTAGTGGGCACCAGGCAACTTAGTTTCACTGTGCCTGTTTCCTCTTCTGCAAAATGGAGGCAATATCTCCTCATTAAGAGTGTTGGTATCACATTTAAATGAGATAATGTTTGTGAGGTAAGTGCCTAGACAATGGGTGAAGCGTGTCATAAATTGCTCCTGTTATTGAAGAATAACAGGAAATCGCTGCTATGAAGATACACACATATGGGAAATGAATGACCCAGCCTGAATTTTTAATTTCCCTCTTCAAGGCCCAGTGTGTGGGCCCACAGCCTCTCCACTCCTCTGACCCAGGGAATGGCTATTTATTGGTTGACTTTTTCCATAGGGCCGTCAGGGGTCTATTCAGATACTGTGGAGGAAGTGAGACAGAAGTTCCAGTCTAAACACAATCTGTGTGTTAAGCCCCGCTGGTATGCACCTCCCCTCCCTCCTCCAGTGCTAGTCTGAGAATCTGAAAACAGGGCACCTGAGCACACAGGTGTGGAAGGCCTGGTCATGAGCCCCAGTACCCACGGCGGAAGGCTGCCCCATTCACCTTGCGAAGCCTGTCCTTTCCTCCTGCAGAGTGGATGGCTTCCATCAGGGCACTGTGTAGGGATGTGTCTTTTGGGACTGGCCTCTGGACAATAGGTTTGAATTTTTTCTTTGGCCCAAAAATGCTGGGTGGCCAAGTACTATCTGTTTGACTTCCATCTGTAGTGAACACATTGGGCTTTTCCTCTTTTTCTAGGAGAACGTGGCTGTTTGTGCTAGATGCTTCTAGAGAGCGAGGAGGCTCGTGGCTGCCTGGGACCCACACAGAGCCATTTGCTAGTGCCCTGCTGGAGGCCCCAGTGTCTGATGAGTGTGGAGGGGGTGCATCTGTACTGTCCAGTGTACACTTGGGGTCAGATGCTGAGCTGGCCTTCTGGTGACTTGTGCTTTGCTTTCCACTGAAACCACAGCCTTGCCCTGCAGAAACATGAGCCCTCTGGGAAGGCTGAGCTGGTGGGAAAGAGGAACTTTTGTGGACACCAGCAGGACAGGCCTGAGCAGACAACTTTCTGTAGGGGCCACTGACCTCCCACCTAGGGTGGCCTCCCACTGCCGATTCTTCTCCAGGGCTGCTGGGAAGAGTGACGCAGGGTCTCTGTACAACGTCCTTACGTCCTGGCATCTCTGAGTACAGGCTGAGGGTGGTGTTGTCCTTCACAGCAAGAGGGTATCCGGTTAGCTCTGGCACCCTGCTTCCATCACCCTTCTCAGCATGACCGCACGACCTCACCACATCGGCGTGGACTTTCGGGGGTCCTATCCGCCTGGCAATAGCAGATGCCACATACTGGCTGGACGTTCTCCTCTGAGGCTTGAGAAACGTGACTTCCGTGGTGTGGGCCGCTGGAGCCTTCAGGTGATAAGCACCTGCTGCGGACGGCTGGCTTCTCCTCTCTTCCGAGTGACTCCCACCCTCCTGGTGGGCAGATTGCTGTGGGGGCGATGTTGGTTTGGGGTCTGCTTGGAGTCTGCTTTCTGAATGCTGCATCTTGATGGGCATGGAGATGGAGGGAGCCCTGCTGGCTGAGTCCTCTGTGGGCTGGCCCGTGTGTTTGCCCATAGAGTTGCACCTCCAGAACTCTTTGACTTTCCCGATGGGTTGAGTCTCTGCTTCAAGCACAGAGGATGACAGGGCTATGGTCCTGCTGCCATTGGCATGAGGACTCACCAGATTCCCTAGCTCATCAATCTTAATGGCGCCTGTGGAGAGGGACACACCTCTGTCATAACATCTCATCTCCGATTTGGGAGGAATGATTTTATATGTGGTGAGGCCGCACTTCAGTCCGTAATTCCTCCCTGGGTTTTGGCCTCGTTGACACCATGACACTGCTGAGATAGCATTGTTATCACTTCCTTCCTTCTCCCTCCATGGCTGGGAAGTCACTCTCTCTGGGGCCTGTGTCTTCTCACCCTGAGCACGGCCATGCGCCTGACCTCTCTCCTTTGTGTCTCTGTCATCTGTGTGAAGATCTGAAGCTACAGAAGTCACCTTGGGAGCCACTTCAATGGAATTCCCATTTCCACAGGTGTCGGATAAGGCTGATGGGGATCCCTTTCCGAGGTCACTGGGAAGAATGTGTGGGGTGGCAGATCCTTCTTCCCTCCTTCCACGGTGCTGGCTGTGCTCAGTCTGAAAGGGTGTCAGGGGGGCGCTCCTGCCAGCAACACCCTCCATATCGGAAGACCCCGCATTGTTGTTTCTGTTAGAAAACAACCCCAAGTCAACCGAATCATCGGAAACTTCCCCAATGAATGTCACAGGGATCTTATCCGCGTCACTGTTGGGGATCACAGTGTCTTGAGTGCAGTGGTTGGATACACCATGGACAGAGCTGGTGAGGGAGCTGGTGTCTGTTTCATAGCTCTCCTCCATCTCTGCAGAGAAGGACAAACACAAGTCACAGACCGGCACCACAAGTAGGATTCCCATGCCAATTACTTAGTGCAACTGTAGCCGTGGCTTTGTGTTCCCTGAGGTTATTTCTCAGTAACATATTTACATGCGCTTAAAAATGATGTTTTGGTTTGTAATCTACACGATATGCCTGGGCCAGAGTCTCCACTTTCCTTACTCAACGCAAGAACTATTTGCAGATCCACAGTTCCAAGGTAAGGCATTTGGTTACAACATGTTACCTGCATCCTTACTTAAAAAATAGATTTCTAGATCCAAGCCTCTGGAAAAACTGACTTGACACAGGAACATGAATTTTGGGTTTTGGCCTCCATATGTCTTATGTGCACCAGCCAACAATATACCCAGGACTGCTTGCTCTAGCCTTAACTTCTTAAGGAGGCAGATGACGAAGTCTTGAGTACCAGAATTATCATGGCTCCTCAAAGCACCAAATGATGCAGCTGTCATGTGGTCGGAGCCTGTGGGACACAGTATGGCCGATTCAGACTTTTCAGCTCTGTCAACCATGTATTCTGAGGACAGGAAACTGAAAAGTGAGTCAGATAAAACTACTGATCAGTTTTGCAGTCAGTGTCCCTTTTCAACTTCTTTTTGTTTTGCTTTAAGGCATGGCCAATGTTTAATTTTATTTTCAATGTGTGCCTTGGAGAAAATATCGTAGTTCCTTTGTTTGAAATATTCCCTAGTTGTTTACTGACATTATTTGCCATATGCTTTGACCTTACAGTATTAGTTCCCCCAAAATATATCAACAGAATAGCAGTGCCATGAGATGCTCCATTATAAATGGCTCATTGTGGTCAAAAGGTTGTGTATTTCTTCTTGAGAGAGATGCCTTATCTCAGCAAGAAAAGAGTTAGAAGTTTCAATAAGGAAACCTATGTATCTTTGTGCCACCTTTTATTTTCTTTAATGTGTGTGGAATATTTTTTAATGTGCAAAATTCATATTATTCAGAGCACATTGTAAGCAGTCATTTCAATGTTTCCACGGCACTGTGTGGCAGCCCAGATGAAAAGCAATTCATCAGAAACTGTGCTCCCTGAAACCCCAGCCTTCAAATCTAGGCTTCCTCCAAGGTGAGCTGCAATCTTCTGAAGACCTTTTCCTTGTGTAGCTATACAAAAGTGTGCCCAGAGAAAGTAACCTTCAGCACCTGTGGTCATGCAGCACAAGTGGTTCTTACCTTCTAGGTCTTCGTCAAGTTCTGCAAGAGTCTTATGGAACTGTCCGGTGATGAATAGGTCTTCATCATCACTGGAGGCTGTGGCAACTTTTTCAGTTCTAGGGAAGCACAAAGAGAAAGAACATTCATTTCTCTTATGACTGATTTAATGTACTCCTTTCCAGAAATATCTGAGGATAGAGCAGCTTATATTCAAATTCAAGTGGTCCCATACTCACTGGACTACTGTTGGTTTCGGAATTCCTGAGATACAGACTGTGTGTGTATGCGCATCTGCAAGTGTGTATATGTGAAACGTGTGCATGCATGGCATGTATATGTGATGTATGGTGTGTGTGCGTGGCCCCAAAGTGTTAGCATCACCCAAACCGTGAAGCTCTCACTCATTCAATAGATCGAAGCCTAAGTTTTAGTTCCACTGTACTAAGGCAAGTTCACATGTAAACAGGATTTGCCTGCAGATCTGCATTGAGTTACAGCAGTCCCCTGCATCTGGGGTACGAAGGAGTGAGACCATCTGGAGACCAAGCCGCATGTGTGCGTACAGCCAGTGAGCTGGTCTACCTGAACTCTAGACATGGCATCGCCAGGTTGCTCTTGAGCACAGGGGAAGCTTGTGTGAAGCGTCCCTTGAGCTCTGGTGACGTAGACTGCACACTCTGGCCAGGGCATTGCTGAGCCAGCCCTCTGTAAGGAGGGTCCTGCGGGGCTGGGTGGGGGTGTTCCCAGGAGTTCTGGCAACTTTGTAACTCAGGTCTCCATCTGTGTCCACCCTAGTTAGCAACTCACCCTGCCAGATTCAGAAAAGTAGAGATGTTTCATTCTTCCTCTACAACAAAGGGCTGTCATAAGCTCTCCAATGTGTCCTTTTTCCATTCTTCCACTTTGGTCTAATTCCTGCTCTGAGTGGATGGCAGAGACACAAGGGGCTTGGGGGCCTAACCATGCCACCTGCAGAGCTGTGCTCTGTGGGCACTTTAACCGGGAACAAAAAGATAGGATGGTGACAGCAAGCATTAAAGCAATAGCAGGAGTAAAACACTTCCACCTCAGCCCTGATTGTCTCTCCCAAAGGTCTCCTCTCAGGCCCACCAGGAGGAATCTCCCAGCAGTGCGGGCACATGTCTTCGTGCCAAGCCCTGAACAGAGATGTTCTCACAGATTATCACAGAGGATTACTTGTAATCCTCACAAGTAGCTTCTCAGGCAGGTGGTGGTGTTTTCACCATGGTACAGAGAGGAAACTATGGACAGACAGACCACAGAGTGGCCTGGAGTGCACCAGCATCCAAACACAGGCCTGCCTGCTCATGCTCACAGCAGGGAAAGGACTGGGTGTGTCTGGGGCCAGGAGGTACAACGCATTCAGGAAGACGTTGCCCCGCATGCTTGGGAGAGCTGGATCTCGCCTTGTATGAATCACGGGGATGAGGGCATCTGTGAGACAACTGCTGCCAAAACAATTTGAAAACTGTCTTTACAAGGGCTCTTGCCTCTATTTTCTTATTGTGCAGGAAACACAGAGACACGTCTGTGGCAATTGTCTATCTTCATGAAAGCTGAAGTTTTGTTTTCCGCTGATTGTTAAAACTGAGGACCAATTTCCATCACTGCTAATCAGGCCCAGATAATGATGCATGAAATACGCTTTGCACAGTCCTCACGTAGCTAAGTTTTTATTCTGATAAATGAGTCCTTCTTACTTGGTGACTATGTCCATTTGGGAGCCAGGAAGTGGCTTCCAGATTCGTCTCCACTAATGTCCTCTGACAAGTAGGACAAAGGGGGCCGGTTGGAGATGCGTGTGCATGTGGACCAATTAATCAGGACCACGAGAGGCTCAGGGCCATCCTCCCCCTTGCTTCTGCCTCTGCCATGGGCCTTAAATATATGAATGCACTTTATTAAAGTTGGATTTTTCTCTTTCATAAAATGTGACAGTTTCAACAAACTAAAATCTTTAATAAGATACATGGCAGAGAAAAAATGGAAATTGCTATATATGCAGCAATTTGAAAGGGAAAACAGAGCACTTTTTAAATGCCTGCTCTCAATCTAGGATGCCTAAAGCCTAGCCAAACAGAACTACATGCACACTTTACTTCAAAGTGTTTGCCTTTTCTTCAAAGCATCCAAGAGCACATCACTCTGTGAAACTGAACAGAAGGATGCCAGTAAGAATTAAGAACATATTTAAGATAAAAATTTATTGATTCTACCATATTGTAAATGTTAAACTAGCAAAAAAAATAAAATAAAATCACATGAAGCTGATGAAGATACAACAAATCTGAGACACACTTGTTGCTACTGGTTTCAACTGGAAACACATCAAAAAACAAACAAAAATCCCTCTTTCTCTTGGTAAGAACTTAGGTTCGTTAATCGCGCTTTTAACAATCTGCCTTAAGAAATAACTCAATCAGCTGGGCTCAGTGGCTCAGCCTGTAATCCTGCGCTTTGGGAGGATGAGGTGAGTGGATTGCCTGAGCCCACGGGTTTGAGACCCGCCTGTGCAACTTGGCAAGACCTCATCTCTACAATAAATCAAAAATTAGCCGGGCATGGTAGCGCACGCCCGCAGTACCAGCTACTTGGAAGGTTGAGGTGGAAGGATTGCCAAAGCTCAGCAGGTCAAGGCTGCAGTGGCCGGGAGCAGCCACTGCACTCCAGGCTGGGCGACAGAGTGAGACTCCAACTCAAAAAAACAGAAGAAAAAAGACATAATCAAAGGAAAACTACAAACATAACAATGTTTATTGTCACCATGTAAAGAACTCTAAAATGTCCAGCAGTGTGCAGAGTTACCTACATGACTGCCATATAAATGTCAAAGGACATTAAAATCAGTAAATAGGATGATCATAACGTCTATGTAGAAACACAGATCAACGCTGAAGCTAGCATGCTATGTAATTGACACCCATATATAGGATCATTATGGTGGCATAAAATGGCAAATGCCTGTGGACAAGGGCAAGACAGAAACACAGACACAACCACCACAAGTGGTTACTTATTGACTTATTGAAAAGGACAAATCAGGGCGACTGTTTTATCCTTTTTCTTTAGAATTGTGCTTGTTTTGATACAAAGCAGCTTGAGTGATAAAGCAAATTTTTAATGACCAAAATTTAAAAGAATATTTTTGCCCTCTAGCTAACAATTCTCTTTGCAAAGGAGCTTGCAGTTTTTTTTACCCTGTACACAGCATGCACCTTATTCTGTGACTGGGGGTCTGGCAAGCCAAGTGCATGGCCTCCAGCCTGAGGACCACAGTGGAGAGGCTTCGACCCAGTCTGAGTTGCCTTAGTCCTTGGATACTTCCTCCCACCCAGGCCCAGGCCTCAGCTGTCCTATGAACGCAACAGGATCCAGGCCCCCAGAGCACAGGACTGGGTCCTGCCCTCCAGTCCAGGTTGACTTTTTCCCCTTCATGCCTGTGTTCTTTCCTGTCCAGCCCTGCCTCTCTGACTGCCTCACTTGAAACTTCAATGGCTGCTCCTGACACAGCCACTCAGTTCCAGGTGCTCGCGGTACCTCCCCATCCCATGCCTGCCCTGGTTCAGTTCCCTGACACTTCAGTATGGGTCTGGCTCATCTGGGCCCTGCTTGTTCAGAAGGAAAGAGTGGACATATGCTAGGAGCTCCAGCTTTGGGGTCCCTGTGGCGTGCGGGAGGGGAGGACCGCGGTCGCCCAGGGCCCTTGTTTGGTATTGCTTCCAAGGCTGCCAAGCCCACAGCAGCTCTCAGGGAGGAGGGAGGCGGGGCCTGTAAACCACTTCTGGGCTCACCCCTCTCTGATGCAATGCAGGGCTGCTGTGTTCTGGGCCTGGCTTCTGGGCAGATGAATTATCTCGTATTGATTTTACTTTCCAGGGCAAGCTATCAGGAGGGAGAGGATTAGCAATATTTGTTTTCCCTTGCTCACTAACTCTCATCTACTTCTCTCCGAAGGGTTACTAATGGATTATAAACATTCCTCTCTCTGCAAAACCACCAGATTTATGCACTTAGTCCCCGAGCTTTGGAGGGCAGCTCCATGTGGGCTTAGGAGAGCCCTAGGTATGCGTCTGGTGAAGAGTCTGCAGTCAGCAAGAAGCATCGACCTCTGGTAGTATAAAGTAAACGTGCACAGATGCTTTTCTCCTGGGCTTCTCTCCACACCCAGCAGTGTACACCCTAATCTTTAGATGTGTTTCCTGTTGACAGTTTGTTTTGGCTTAAGACCAAGAAAATAAGAAGCAAACAAACACAGGACAGACATTTGGATATCCCCGAGCTGCACATGTTGAATAAACATTGCCAGATCTACTTTCTCATGTGGCGCTGGTGACTCTGCAGAGAACATGATAACGCTGTAAGGTAAGGACAAAGCACAGCACTGGCAATGTTCAAACCAGAGTCTGCCCAGGAAGTGGAACTGCCTCCGGGGGTCCAGCCCCTCCAAGTGTCTGGAGGATGGAAGGCTGATGCCCCACCCAGCTGAGCATGCACAGGGTTTGTTTGGCCTCGGCACTCCACTCCCTGGCTTCCAGCAGAATAAGAGCTAGAAGCAGTCATGAGCCACTAGTACCAGGGAAGCAGGGGCTCCCTGATGGGTCGTTTTGTTGGCTACGAGAAAGAAAGAGAATGGGCCAACTCTGACCTATCTGAAACTCTCAAGGTGGATTCATCGCATGCCTGGTCACTTTTTCTTTTTGATGTGGCTAAAAGAATTTCTTTAAGTAATTTGTACAATGGCTGAATTAATGGGGAAAAAAAAAACCTGAGACTAAGAAGATGTTGTTTTTAGGTAGCAATTCAGTTTGCTAATGGCAACCAAACCAGTCCCTGTGATTTCAAAATGATTACTTGACAAATTAATGGCAAGAAGCCTGGGCATATACAAGGGGTAACCCCCCAAAAAACAGAATTAGTTTTTGGAGGGCAAGCCTCTTTTTTTTTTAAATTAATTTTTATTATAGAGATGTGGGGCATAATTCAGGGTTAGGTATATAAACATTGATCATGCAGGTATCCTTGTTGATGAGGAGGGCAAGCCTCTTATAGCACAGGCTTCCTCCACCAAGTTTTCTAAGAACCCATTGGCATCAAT